GCTCTCGCTTGATTTCAGAGCAAATCTTGCKCAGAAAAACAACATAACTTTGCAATTGGGACGAACTTCGGGAATAATATAAGGCCAAGAACAACAGCAAAAAGCATTTCTGTGTAGTTGAAAGATGAATCAAACAGTCTCTTCAAGAATTCAGGTGTGTAAGTTAGGTGTATTTAACGAGCAAATGATTTTTTTTTACTTCTAGAAAAGCAGAACTTTTCATTCGCCTCCAGTTTTCAAATGAAAGAAAACTTTCTCTCAAACGTTTTAGTGTTTCTATAGATAATTTGTATTAATGTTGAATGAAATATAAAAAGGAATACATTTTACATTTATATATTCGGCATTTTTTTTAGCTTCTGTAGCTAGTATGAYATGCAAAATGAGCACGTGTGCTTTAATATTAGTGAAGAACTCGTATTTATGAGCTAAAATATATTCAAGAGCATTTCTATTAAATTAACTTATGCGAAGGCCAATTACTAAGCTAGCTGAAAGAGAAAATTATTATTAGTGTCTTATTCTTGTGAATATAGGGGTTTTTTTGGGAAACATTTGCCTCTTATAAGTCGACTTGAAATATTATYCTCAATGGAGATGTAAAGCCGTTCTACTTTCTACAACACGGGACTCTCAACCTCAAAAATGTTTTTACATACCAATTGCTAAAAGGAATCTTTTTTTATAGAAAGAAAATCTTTAAGAAAATTGTTCTTGGTATTGAACAAGTTTTCTGATGCTTTAAAAGCTTAAAATATCAATTTTTCTATCAGTTTTTTTCTGTCTTGAAAACGCCCGTTGGTCACGCTGTTTTTGAGTCAAAACTTGTCACGCATTTAGCCGATTCGATTTATCCTCAAAATATTTACAGTGTAAAGATAACATGTTTTTTTCTTCAATCGCATGGTTATCCTTTTGTACCTTTTATGTAATATCAATAAATTAAATTTGCATCATAAAATTCTAAAAATGATTGAGTTTTGAAATCCCTAAAAAAGTTAAAATTCCCTGTGATTTTAGCACTATTTTTGAACTTCGCGCAAAGCTAACTGAACGACCTACACGATTGCATGCGGTATGAGGGAGCAGTGCCTATATTTATATGTTAATCGAGAAGTTATATAATTCTGTAAACGAAAAAGTGAACAAAAAATAATAAGATATATAAAAAGAAACTTAATGGACAAATATGGT